ACATTGTTTAAATAGGAGGTGCTGAGGCAGAAATCTGAAGGCTGGACTGGACAGTGTCAGATGCAACTGCACCAAGAGGTTGTGTCAGGAATTCTGGAGGTAGTGGCAGCAGTGAGCAGTGGTGCTGGAAGATCAGAAGCTGCTGATTAGAGGTGGTTGTGCACATGCCTGCAGTGCCAGTGAGCAGGCGGGGATGTGGAAGATCAGGCATTGGTGTTACACTCTTTAAAGATTCCAAACATAGGCCGACAGGAGACAGCTCTTTTCACAAGTGGTGTCAGAGGACCAGGCAGCAATTTACAGCTCTTCCAGAGATGCTACGCATAGGCCAGGGACACCAGTCAATAGGCAATGTGGGATCAGAATTAGAGGCAGAAGCACATGTCAAGCAGTGTTTCCAAGGAGAGATCAGATGCAAAGGTCTGCAAAGAATGAAGGTTTTGATGAATGAAGGTCTCAGTAAATGAGTGTCCAAATGGAGTCTCCCAATCAACACGTGAAGCCAGCTACTGTCCCAGCTTATAATTCCTTAAGTGTTATCCCCCTTTCATACTGGATTGGTGCATCTTCAAAACTGACACCATTTCAAGATTTGATTGGCTCCTGTGTAAGATAAAATCTGACTGTTCCTTTTACAATGTCACATGTTCTTTAAAGCAGAACTCCCACCAGCATGTGAAACCCTATCTGACCGGAGGTTGCGTGGTCTTGTGCCAGCAGTGGGCGCTGCAGAAGAGCCAGGCAGGCAGGCTGTGCTGCCTTTAAATGGCACTGGCCAGGTTCAAACCCGACTGGCATGTACCCAAAACCACTCTGGTGCAAGGGGCCCCTTCTGCAGTGGAGCTGGTCATGCCCCTTTGCACCTGGCTGCTGGGTTGGGGGAGCTGGAAGTTAGGGAGGGGTCTTCCTACACATGCTGCAGATGAAACACCTGCTATATAGTTTGCATGCTGATTTCCAGCAAGGCCTTTCCAGGACGAGACACCTAACTACGGGAGGTGTCACTGATAGTGTTTTCAGTTTGAGAATTCAGATGTCTCCGGACTGGGCTACCTGATTGGATCTGATCTGACCATAGGCGTCGTCTATCCAATGTGCCCCCAGATCCTGCATGGCCCTCCACTCGTCGACGCCTTCTTCAGAAGATGGACTGCCTTGCTCCTGGAACTTGCCTGGTGTCGGCCACCTTATATCCCCCAGTGGCAACAACCCCATCAGACAGAGCATACACCAGACTGAGGGCAGGACTGCATCCCCACTCTGCCCTCCAAGGTTCATTGGGCCACCTCGAGCCGTTTACTCACTCCCCCATCCCCTGAGATTTCTTATTCATTCTTCCATTTGAAAGGCGACTCTGAGGGCATGAACGTGGGAATGAGACCCAGAATCTCCAAGGGTACTAATTCCATTCATTGGGCACCCCCCCGAAAACCAGAAATTAAGCCGGGGATTATGACACTCAACAACTTCCCCCCTCAGCTCAGCCCCCCTCCACCCCCACACAGCTCTGGCTCCCTCAGCCAAGACTTTGGGACAGATATATTTTTTTTAATTTTAGTTTCTAAATTTCCTTTGAACGGTCTTGTACATTTTTGTAAGGTATTTGATTTCTCCTCTTAGGTGTAGTGCTCGTAATTCCCCCACCACCAGAGACTCTATTATCCATCACCATCGTAACCTGGTGCTTTTCTCTCCACTGTTTTGAGCCTTTTACCACCACCCCCTTCCACTGTATGTCTGAGATCTAATGTCATCTTGCAAGTTTTGTCTATTTCTTGAGCTTTTGTTTGGTTTCTCTATAGTCCACATGTAAGTGAAACAATCCAACATTTATCTTTTTCCTTCTGACTTATTTCACTGAGCATAATCCCATCCAGCTCCATCCATGTTGCCAGAAATGGCATGAGCTGACCTTTTTTGATTGCCGAGTAGTGTTCCATTGTGTATATATCCCACAACATTTTACTATTGTCCATATTATGATGGTGTGAAGCAGAGAGAAAATGTCAATAGAATTTAGTTCTTTTCACAAAATGACAATTTAACTTTACTACAGATACTGGTCAGCTCAAAGAAAAAAAAAATCTTCCATGAGTCAAAACAAAACAAAACTAGTTTCATTCCAAGCAAAACATACCAAGATTGTTAATCCACTCATGCATATGTAGAAATCCCTCCATCTCAAATTCCATCTATTACCATGGGTCTTAAAAATTGTCAAGATGTCTCTCTTGTTCATTTCTCCAGAAACAATTTCTACAAGTACCAGAACTCTGAGATAACCAAGATCAAAAATCTGATACTAGGGTCTCCCTCCCTGGTGGCACAACCAATGAAGTTATCAGCAGCCTCTGCAGCATGAGATTTATCCCTGGCCAGGGAGCAACCCACATGGCACAGCAGACCTCACCTGTCTGGTCCACTGCTCCCCTCAGCAGTGTGTTTTGTTCAATCTGCCTGTTTTGTTCCCCACTCTGTCTCTGGTGAATCCTCTCACCCACCACACCTCTGGCCTATACCCCAGTTCTTGTATGCATAAATAAATAAATCTTTTTTAAAAAATCTGATAATATCATTGACAAGGAAACTTTTTGAATATTATAACCTACAGAATTCCAAAACTACAATAATCATAATTGACAAGCAATATTATATCAGAATATAGTATATACCTAAGAAGCCTCACAAAAATTTTAGAACCCAATATTAATGTCTATTTACATATTAAGGTTATATATGTCCCTCAAGTGAAAATACTTCCCATTAAGTTTGAATTCATCAGATAAATGCCCAGCAGGCAAGTGTGTTTAATGTCTTACCCATAAAGAAAAGGAGAAATTTTGTGGGGTGGCTTAGCAGCTCCATGGATGTTCCATAAAATTTCCTCTGATCAATGAAATAAAAGACAACCATTATTTCCTGAATTAGATTTCTGGGGAACTTTGCCCTAAATACTAAGGGGGATGGCATTTAATTACCCAGTAGTGACAATTTGAAATGCCAAGCTCTGGATAGACTCAGCAGCACAGTGGTGACAAAATGACCTTTCCCATGTCCTATATTATCTCATTCCAAAAGTAACCATTTTCCTTCCACCAAACTTTCACTGATGTAAAACCCTACTTGTGAAATTTATAAATCCAGGTAAAATAAAAAGTATTCTTCCAAATCCTATAACTCTACAGGCACACAGTTTCCAGACTAAATTATTTAATTTCAAATTATGCCTTTTAATGAACAACTATCAATGGAAAAGCAGAAACATACAAACGTACACAGCTGATATCTCTTAGTATTCATTAAGCCAGATGTAAACTCTTGTGAAAACTGAAATTTAGTATATTGTGCAGTAGTTGGAGGGCTTGTTCTCTGGCTGCATTGACCTGCAAAAGAAAAAGGGACAAAAGGGAAAAAAAAAGGAAAAAAAGGGCCTCTCCGGTGGCGCAGTGGTTGAGTGCTGGGTAACGAAGCTCCCCGCAGCCTCTGTGGCGACAGTTTGATCCCTGGTTGCTCCCTGGCCACCGAAAGAGGGTCCCGCATGGCGCGCAGACCTCTCCCGCCGCCCGCTGCTCCCCTCAGCAGTGTACTTCGGTCCTTCTGCTTGCTCTGCTCCTCGCTCTGGCTCTGGTGAATTCTCTCACTCTCCCGCGCTTCTGACTGTACCCAGTGCATGTATAAACAAACAAACAAATAAATAAACAAACAAATAAAATATGTGCCTCTTTAAAAAAATAAAAATTAAAAAAAAAAGAAAAGAAAAAAATAGAGGGCCTCCCCGGTGGCACAGCGGTTGAGCGCTGGGTTGTGAAGCTGCCCACAGCCTCTGCAGTGCCAGCTCGATCCGGCTGCTCCCCGGCCACCGGAGGAGGGTCCCACATGGTGCGCAGACCTCTCCTGCAGCCCGCTGCTCCCCTCAGCAGTGTTCTTCAGTCCTTCTGCCTGTTCTGTTCCCCACTCTGGCTCTGGTGAATTATCTCACCCTACTGTGCTTCTGACTGTACCCAGTGCTTGTATGTATGTATGTATAAATCAGTCAATAAATCAATAAATCAATCAATAAATCTTCTAAAAAAAGAAACTGCTAGAAATCTATCAAAGAAAGATAGCATGATGTCTTATAACATGGAATTTAAGCAATGGACCTCTAAGTAAACCTGGGGTAAAAGAGAAAGTCTCAAAGGAAATTAAACAAAATGAAACTTGACATCTTTGTTCATAAAAGCCCAAACTAGAAAATACCCAATTGATCTTCAAAGATAAATGATTAAAGAACTGTGATACATCCATATCATAGAATTCAGCTCAGTCATAAAAACAAGAAGCTATTGCCACAAATTATTTGAATTTCAAGGGAATTGTGCTAAGTTGAAAAATCTAATCTCTGCATTTTACAAACTATATTATTTAATGGATATAATACTCTTGAAATAACAAAATTATAGAAATGGAAAACAGATCAGTAGTTTTCTACTGAGTGGCCAAACGAGGGGCTGAAGCATCCTGTCTTATCTGTGTCTGTGCTCCATGGTGGTTCACGACACTTGTCCTGTTGTGCTCCAGTGCCTGAGTCAGCACAGCAGGGAAGATAAGGAAAAGAAGAAAACATTTCCTTAAGTGGGAAAGTTATTTTATTGGGATGACTTTTATCCTTCCTCTGAAAGAAGAGTCTATCTTTGTGTGATTGGCCTAAATTATTTTTACTTTCCTTCAGTTTCCATAGCAACATATTTCTTACATCCCCTCATATTGTCAAAAGCAATTCTCCTAAAGTTGTATTTGCTAAGTAACCTGCAAATATGTTCTATCATTGTTTTTCTGGTCATATCTTCTAGAGAAACTACTACCATTTTGCAAACAACAACAGAGGCTGATCAACAGCTCAGTGTGCTGGTTAACCATGAATAAATACACGGAATTCAGCCTATATCCTCTTTATTGTTCACCCAAGAATGTGCTAATTAAGTTAAAAATCACTGCAGCTATCTCCTCTGGGAAGACTTGTGTTATTTATGGGTCTACGAGATGCACAGAGAATGGTAACTATTCTCAGGGTCTTACAATCTATTGCCGGGAGTTAAGGTCTGCAGGAGGGAAGAAGACAGGACTTTAAGACGTGTAGAGGAGAAGCACATGAGTCCAACTTGGTCAGGTGATGCTTGAAGGGTCTGTGTGTGTGTGTGTATGTGTATGTCTGTGCATGTATGTGTGGTGTGAGTGTACTCTGTGTAATATGTAGTGCGTAGGTATTGGGGTTTTATGTGGTATGTTTGCATGTACATGGTGTACATATATGTGTGGCCTTTATGGTGTGGTGCATGTGTGGTGTGTTTTTATATGTGTCACACCTAAGAAAGAAAACAGTACAAGTCATAAGGCAGGAGGCTGGGGACAGTGACTCTTGTTGAGTCACTATATGATTGTGAGCCTCCTGCCTGAATCCCTCCCACCTCCCATAGGTGACAGCTCCTCTTCTGACCATGACTCCAGCAGAAGTGGCAAATGAGTTTGGCTCTTCCTGGGTGCCATACACACCCCAGCCCCACCTTCGGTGTGCATTCTCCCTTTTATTGTTTTTTAAGATTTATTTATTTATGCATTCAAGAACTGGGGTACAGACCAGAGTGGGGGGGTGAAAGGATTCACCAGAGGGAGTGGGGAACACAACAGGCAGATCTATTGAAATACACTGCTCAGCAGGCGAGACAGAAGAGGTCTGCTGCACCATGTGGGTTTTTCCCTGGTGGGCTGGGGATGAACTTGTGCTGTAGTGACTGGTGATAGCTTGATAGCACTGTCTTAACCCCCGCGCCACCAGGCAGGCCTGCATTCCCCTTTTAACCTTGAGCAAATTGTTTCACCTCTCAGTTCCTTCACCTGATGAACAGAGGTAAGATAATAATAGTCCCACACCAGATGAGAGGCAATGAGTAACAGAATGTGCAGATCAAAATGAGCACATGGCAAATGTTAACGACTGTGGTGGTGAGGTGAGGATGGTTAATAATCTGACTTTTCTATTAGGAATTAAGATGGAACATTTGTATAATGTACCCAGGAAACAGGGATTGGTACTGGGACGCCTGGGCTCTACACCTCCCCAAACGCAAGCATGTTTCTATGTCTTAAATCTGTCTGTAATCTCAAGGGCCAACACTTGATGAGACTGTGCTGACCTCTCCCAGGTATGACCAGTAATAACAACTGTAAACTGCAGTTCATGTTTGTCCAGTCGGCTTCAGCTCATGAGAACTTCTACCTGCAGTGTGATCAGTGCATCCAGTGGGAGCTGATGGGATGGCCAGGGTCATCCAGTAAATGCCATGGATCCTGCTGTCACCTCCAGGCCCCAGTGAGTAAAGCTGGACACATCTGCATACACTAAATGGCAAGCTGTGCCCAGATAAGTACAGGCAGTGGCTGAAGGGCCTTACTCCACCCTGGACGGGCCCCAGGGGGTAGGGTCTCTTTTCCAGGTCAGCACAGTGTCTGCCCCCCGCAGGAGCAAGGGTGAAATTGAACCTCTCTCTGTTCACTTTCCTGGGCTGTAGAATTGAAAAAGATACCTCGTTTTATTCCAGTTGTCTTTTGAAAAGCCATGAAAAACATTGTTGAGAAAATAAATAGTCAAAAAAAAATCAGTAAAACAAAACAAAATGAAATGTAAACTATAATAGACCAATCCTAATTTTAAATAAAGTGTGGAAACCTGCTAAGTCAGGGACCCGATTTATTCTCTGTCATGAAGTGATGTCCTTGCCAAGCTGGCAGTTCGCCTGGCAACAGTGGGCATAGCATGTAGAGCCCAGGGTCTCTAGGAAAGGGAAGAGAAACAGGCCCCCTACACTTCTTCTCGAGATTCAGAGTGACTGCTGTTCTGGGTAGGCCCCAACGGCCTGGGATTGCTACCTTGTGCAAGTTCCATGCACTGAGGGGATCGAGGGCCCTGAAATTAAAAAAAAAAAAAAAAGAATCCTGGTGAGGTTAGAAAGATAGGAAACACGGTAGCCGAAGAACTGGCCCAAGGGCAGAGGGTCAAAAGTACATCTAGGTCTGAGTCTGAGCCTGGGGTCTGAGTCTGGGCCTGGGCCTGCTGGGACAAGGCAGGCTTCTACAGGCCCCGGGGAGGCCAGGGCACTGGTATGGCTGTAAGTCGTGCCAAAGACATCCTCAGACGGCCTAAGCTGGAGCCCCCAGGCAGCCTGCACCTGGTGTAGGAGGATGCCAGGAAGAGGGCATCCTGGTGGTTGGAGGATGCCAGCAAGAGGGCCTCCAGATTGGGGAGCATCATGACAGCAGTAGCAGCGGCAGTGGCCTCTGAGGGCCACAGAGGGTCTCTGAGCTCTGTCTGTGTCTTGGCAGGACAGTGAGTGGTGAGTAATTTTTCCAGGTCTTCAGAGCACCTGCTGTTGGGCATTGAGATTCTCTGACCCAGGCGGACAGGATGGTGCCTGGCCCTGGAGTCTTTGGAAACACCTAAGAGCAGGGGAAGTCCTGGACATAACCAGTGGGAGGGTTTGGGTGCCAGAGGGGTGAAAAGGACAGTTATGGGAGGCTCATGTGCTTCACTTTGAGATGCTAAAGGGGAGCATCAGTTATATTCCAGAACTGAAAGATGCACAGCCCAGCTGTATATGCATTTCATTACCTATATATACTCATCATGAAACAGACACTTGTTACTGTATACACCGGCATCAACTTTGCCAGCATATTTATTTGGGTTTTAAAGATCAGTTAGGACATGGTTTAGTTCTAAAGTATCATACTGTATATTAGGATTAAAAGTACATGTCAGTGAATTGCATTTATTTAATAAGTGTAGCATGCACACGTTGTGTGCAACATCCATTCGTTTGTTTGCAGAACAGCTGTCCATCTCCCCATCACTGCTAGGACACACTTAGAATCACTTTTCTTTTCTTAAAAATACTGAAGCAAGGTCCAGTATGAAGCCAGACAAGGCCAGCCCTGCATCCTCTGTATTCTCTCAGCAGCATGCTCAACAGCGGGGTTTGGTTGGCAGCTGCTTAATCTTCCAGGCCAAAATGAACCATCAGACAATTGTATATACAATACCTGATGGCATTGTCGCAAAGAGTGCCAGAGATCTAAAACTTCATGGACGTGTATCATCTGCTCACCACTTCAGCGTGTGCCCACCGGGGTGGGTGGGTCCTCGAGGGCAGCCTAGTCTCACTTGGTCCCTACAGGTCCCTAGGTCTAAAATTGGCCTGGCATGGCCTTGGCAAACTATGCCTGTTTAGAGAAAGATGGTAATAGTTGGAGAGGGTCCTGTAAGTAATCACTGGGGGAGGGGAAGCCTCTAGACTAGGAACCTTGAAGATGCAGTCTGCAGAGGCCTGCTTTGTCCCCAGCAGGTGTTGGGTTGCTTATTCGTCCAAAGAGCCAGCTGTTTTCTTGCTGGACGTCAAGGTTATTATCAGGGGAACTTATGTTCATCCAGGACACTCACATCACCCTTGGGCCTCAGCAGAGCGTCCCATGAACTCTCCTAACTTCCAGTCTTTCCCTCTTTGGGATCACTGTCCTTCCTGACCTCTGTCCAGCACATCAGGAGTCACTGCAGTCTCCTGCAAGCTCCCAGGCACCACAGTGCTACCTCTACTCACTCCTGCCTTGTCCTTCAGGATTTATTTGTCTACAAGTTTGTGCTATAAAAGGCAAAAATGTGAGTCATAGGTCTATGATGACCAAAACTGGTATGCTTTACCTTCCACAAACTCTGGTGTTTTCAGAGCTCTCTTTACAAATAAATATGTTTTACTTGCCAAGAGCACTGGATGTCAGTGAGGCAAATGGCCAGAATTCCCCAGATTGCAAAAGCTTCTGACCCTGGCTGTTGCTGTCCCTACAGATACCTGATGAACGGGTAGTGGGAACTTCTGGAAAAACTGATCCAGACCTTCACTGGGAAGTTTCATCAACACTCAGACCTCCTCAGACATTCTCATCTGCTCTCCACTTCAAACAGCATCCTTACTGCTGCTCCTGCCCCCATCCCTGCCCTAGCATTACCTGTAGAATGGCAACACTGGCCTGTGCCCAGTGTCTCCAAAAGGGCTGTCTGCTGTTGGATTATGCCAACATCGCTCAAATGGCTGTCATACTGGTCCTGTTCTCTGGCACCATTGCCTGCTGACCAGTGCTGACCAGCAACACTGACCTGTATCTCTGAGAGGTCCATTGTTCGATTCTCTAGGACCACCTTCGTCTATCGTCTCTGGCACTGTCCAGTGCGGCATCTGTCATTGGCCAGTCCGGCCTCCAGAGAGGTGCTGCTTGTTGCTGTGGCACCATCTCAGCAGCACCCCCTGTGGTTACCTCCAGTTGTTATGGCGAGTTGGAACCTGGTGCACCACTTACAGGTGTGCAACCGGCTCCAGGCCCTCATCAAAGGGATGCCATCTTGTACAAGCAGACTTTGGTTGGGACTGCTGGACACTGTGGACACTGTGGGCTAGGACAGCTGGCCACTTGTGGCCTTAGAAACTCTTTTTTTCGGGCCTCCCCTGGTGGCGCAGTGGTTGAGTGCTGGGCTATGAGGCTGCCCGCAGCCTCTGCAGCGCTGGTTCAATTCCCGGGTGCCAGCGAGGGTCCCACATGGCACGACAGACCTCTTCTGTCTCTCCCGCTGCTCCCCTCAGCACTGTGTTTCGTCATTCTGCCTGTTCTCTTCCCCACTCTGTCTCTGGTGAATTCTCTCACCCTCTTGCGCTTCTGACTGTACCCAGTGCTTGTATAAATAAATTAATATATAAATCTTTAAAAAAAAAAAACTCTTTTTTCCCAGTCTCCACTTTGTTAATAAACCCCTTTGTTGCTGCACCATGAGCCTGAGTGGGATCTTGCAATCATGAGTGTAGGGGTGAGGACCCACCATGACCTGTCCTCAGCCTTTGCACTGTTTTAAGGTTCCACCCTGGAGACACTTTTGTACACACATAAGCAGGCCCATAAGTGTGTTTCCTGATTTCTCCTTATGGCTCCATCCTGCAATTGACCTGTGGATTTTATCTTTCCTATTATGAAATCACAGAGAAAGAAAGCAATAGAGAAAGCACAATTCCCTTCTTTTTCAGCCGCAACACCCCAAAATTTGTCTGATTATTGCCTCTTCCCAGGCTCCAGGCTGATCTGGCTCTCAACACACTCCAGGAAGATCACCTCATAAAAGTGGGTCTCTTTGACCCCTATCTGTGGTGAGTTTGTGCTGTGTTTTGAGGCACCATGAAGAGGCAATCTTTTCAGACCCATGAGTTAGAAGAGTTGGTGGCTTGTCTCAGGAATCAAATGTTTTTATTAATATAAATTCCCACCCCATACTCTTTATATCAAGTCCCACACCTCAGGACATCCTGGCTGAGGCTTAACTATATGCTCTATGAAGAATCATTTTATGTGTAGTAAGATTACTAAGTACTTGCCCTCCAAATGAAGCAGCAATCACTTAGCAGTGTGAGTAATGCAGGATAAAATAGATTTCCAGAAACCCCTATTAAATATTCAAATAAACATTATAAATGCTGCAGAGCCACTTTATAGTTTTCTTGGATGGCTATTATAAAAATCATTAAAGATCTTCAATGCAAGTCAGGCTGCATTATGAGATGATTTCTGGAATTTGTCAATGCTGTAAAATTATGTGGCACATGCACATATGTGTGCCTGTGTGTGTGTCCAAATGCTGGAAGGCTCATACTAGCAATTGTGTCCCTGGCTCATCAGTAGCAACCCTCCATGACAACACCAATCAGCCAGCAAAGGGGCCCAGAATTCCCAAGGCAAGTTTATAGGACACGCTTCCCCATATCAGTCTACAAGCTGATGGGAACAAAGTCATAGCATGTTTGGAGTGACCCAAGCGCAGACGCAGAAGAGCATGTGTGGCGTCCACCCGCCTTGCTCCTAGAGGTGCCTTGGGCCCCAGCACAGCTTCCCCTAAGCCAGGCCATCCTATCCTTGCCTGGAAATTGTTTTCTCAAACTTGTACTGAGAAGACTTTGCCCACAGAACCTCTCTTCACTCTGACCTCCTGATGTGGGTCCTCTTCCTTCCTCACTCCTGAGATCTACTCTCACTTTTGTCTACTCAGACTTCCAGACAGAGTTCTCACTCACTGCCCCTTCAAGAGCAGAGATGTGGCAACTACAACCTTTTAGAGGGCTTCAGAAGAAGAGCTGAGAGTACCTGCCCACCTCCTGGGAGAATGAGGGCCAGGAAAGCAGTGCTCACAGGTGAGTCCACTGCAGAGTGAACATGTTGGGTTACTCAGAAATCCTGGAGGGCGAGCCTCAGTCACTGTGGGAGGCAGCCAGCACTTGCTGGCCTTCCAGAGGCTGATGTAGCAGAACACTCTGTGGGGACACGGGAAGATATGTGAATGCCAGATCTTGGCGCCATAGGGGCACCAAATGAAGAGCACCAGGGCTGAACTCAAAGTACAGAGTGGGGAACCAGGCTCATTGTGTGGTTGAAACAGAACTTTTGGTTTCTATTTGTTCTTGGAGGAATACGGAATCTGGATGTGGCACCCACTATATTGGGATGGTATTTATGTGGCAAGATTCCAAGCAAGACCCTAAAAGGGACCACCTGAGTGAGCTGAGAAAAATCTATGCTTACAGTGACTAGAGGAAGAAAGAATGGAAGTAAGTCAGGGAGAGGCAGGTGTGGTGTGGGCACAGCAACAGTCCTACGCACATTCCCTGCCATGGAGTGCAGGGTGGCTGGTTGTCAGACCTACTTAAACAGCTCATGAATACAGGAGGGCCAAAGATGGGAAACACTGAAACCCTGCTGCCCGAGAGAGAAGCTGTCCCTTCAGCAGCCTGGCAGCTCCAGGCAGGAGACAGCAGCTTCTCAGAGCTCCTCGGTTGAGGGTCCTACGTCAGGCTCTTCTTGGGAACTTCAGAATGAGGCTTTCTTCTCAGGATGAGTCTCTTTGGGACTCAGTGGGTCATGATGAATGAGTAAAGGAAAGAACTAGGAACAGTGCCAGTCCAGCGGGGAGACACCCCTGTGTGGTGTCTAGGCAATGGTTAAACACATGGCAAGCCCTGTATTCGAGAGGATTTTGTTGAACAGGGCATAGCTTCGGAATGCCCTGTCATACAAACATGGGGTTGGGTGTCCTATGACATTTACTTAAACTTTCTCAGTCTCAATGTCTTTATCTTAAAAACATGAATAATGACATCTACCTCTCAAAGGAATTATGAGAATGTGTTGTCCTTTGACGTAGAGCATTTTGCCTTTTCTTTGGCCCTCAGAGTGTATCCAGTGAATGTTTATGGACCAAGAGTGCATCGTGACCACAGGCTGAGAACTGTATTCATTCAGGATTCTGATGTGACATACTAGGGTTGATCTTGCTTATTCTCCGTGGATATTTCCTGTAATGACACTCATGCTCCTGCCTTGGTTTCTGGATATCAGGACATGAAGTGGCAGTGACTTGAAGTCATTATGAAGGCCTCAGTAGTGCCTGGATCAAGCAAAATGAACTAACTACTCCAGAGTAAGAAGGTGCTGAAGAGTCTGTCTGAGCTGGGGAGTCTAGTGGGAGAGGACTCAGAACCCAGAGAACAGCCCCGACTGCCTGCAAGGCTCTTCATGCTCCACCATGCACAGGCGGATGGTAGCTAGGCCTCAGTATGTCAATCAATCAGGGTTACTTCTGTTTATCATTTATTATTAATTGTAATTATTAAGATAATTTCAGAACTTCACCTCAACTGCAATTTGTCTGCTTCAGTTTAAACAGTGAAGGAGACACAGGATTCCTGCCCCCCACAGTTACTTTTTGGTGTCAGTCTGTGCTGGGTTCTGTGTAGAAACCGAGGCTGCCATGTGGAGTCGGCACCTTCTCCATCACAGTGAGACAGGTGTTTGGATGGAGGGAATCCAGGTGTTCTGAACCCAACTCAGGGTCATGGGGGACTTCATGAAGCGGTGACCCCTGAGCTTAGATCAGAAAGACAAATAAGAGTTGGCAAGATGGAAAATTAGGAAAGGCTGGGTTCTTCAATAATTATTGATTTAGTATATTATTGTCTATTCAATAGGTGTAGAGTAGTGAAGATATAAACCTTTATTCTAGGAGGTGATAAAATCATGGGGTAACAACTGTTTCCAAAGGAGAGGTGGACATTGCTGAGGGGCTGCCAGTGGGTAGACACAGGGTGTCTGTGGCTCAGGAAAGTCTTCAGTGGAGATTTGAATGCTTACCAGGAGTTTGGTGGTTTATATGGAAGAGTGTTTCAGGCAGAAGGGAGAGCACATGAAGACTCAGAAGCGTGAAGAATTTTTGGCAATTTCAAGGAAGTGAAAGAAACTCAGTCTATACAGAGCATGGGGAGTAGAGGGGAGGAGAGGGTGAACGGGGAGGGCCAGGAAGGGCCTGACCATGACAGTTTTTGAATCCAAGTGAAGCTTCAGGGACAGGTGGAAACATTCTAAACTTGGCAGTGACATTTAGATTTCTGGATTCAGAAGAATACTTTGGGCTCTGTTAGGGAGAATGAATTGAGGTGAGACTGGCAGTAACTTCACTCTCCAGGACAGGTCTACTGGTTCAAGGGGAGTGAGGAATCCTTTTAAGTATTCACTTTAGTAAATAGGATGGTGGTGGTCTGTCTGAGCCTCGGTAGGGGCAGTGGATATTGAGATTGAAAATGGTTATGCCGACATTTGTACCATCAGTTAGGTTAGAGAAAGATTTTAAACCCCAAACTGCATATCATAAATCCTTTCATGCTTTCAAGGATAATCTTTCACCAATGAACACGCTTCTTCCTGTTACCATATTGCAGAAGGAGGAGTGGCAGGTGAATCAGCCTTCCTGCACAAAGTGGGTGACAGTGGCATCAACTGTGCATGTATCACCTGTCCTGCTGCCTCACTCCCATTGGCAGGGTTTCCCGAGGCCCCAGGTTTCTCCCTCATCACGGATGCCACCCGCAGTGTGTGGTCTTAGATCCTGAATGCACTCAGTGGCAGGTGCTGTGGTCAATTGCACAGGAGCACATCCTTAGTTGGACATGAGCTGCCAAAGAGACCAACAATCTACCCCACCCTGGGTCAAACTCAGCCAAAGTGAGGCTCATGACACTCTGCTTTATTCTTTGCAAACCAGTGTTAGAGCAACAGGGGCCTGACGTTTCATCTTGCTAATAGTGGTCAAATTTCATTAATGTTTAAAATATTTTATGCTCAGGACTTGATCAATTTAAAATTCTTTCCAATTAATCTGATATTTTAAACCAGACATTTCTTGCCAGGACAGAGACTGTTGGCACAACCAAATGCTCATCTCCAGCCTCCATAGTGATCAGGTGGGGTCACAAAGCTGCTTGGTTCACAGGGGTTTGTAGCCACGAGCGGTAAAAAACACCACCTGGTCTAGACTTAAAACATATTCCACCTGGTCCTCTAGCTTTCTCCTACTCTTCTGTGATGAGGCCCACCCTAGAATCCCTGTGCCAGCTGACAGAACTACAAGGGGAAAATAAGGCCACCCAAGTACCTTGAACTTTGCTTGAGTGACAAATAAATTGTTCCTTTGTTATACCAATGGATTTTGGGCCTTATGAATATAGCACAGCATATCAAGACTAACATGCCTTGCAACCCTAATTACAGCTGGTATTATTATTTATTTTCTAAAGTGAAATTCGCCTCCACTGTTTTGAGAGGACCCATGTTCAGGACGTACCTGCTCTTTGCCACATTTTAGAAAAAGCATGATTATGATGGAAGCATTTTAACTCCCATGGGACCATCCAGGAAGTATGATTATGATGCCTGAACATTGGACCTGGGCAAGGAGAAAGGCAGATATGATGATGTAGTTTTCCTTAGGAGAGAGAAATCTGGAGAGAAAGTCCAGTCTTTTCTGATTTGCTTAGTTTTGATTTTGTAGCACATGAGAAGAAATGAACAATTCCATGTTGGAATGCTGGTGTGAGGTACCTGTATATACCCTTGTTCAGAATCCAGTACAAGTTTGGAAACACAAGCTTAAAACATAGACAAGGAATTGGTACTGGAATGATAGAATTTGGGTTGTCAATGTATACATTGAAGGCATCAGACTAACTAGCTCACCTCAAAAGAACAAAAATTAAGAAAGACAAAATCATAAGCTAGAACCCTAGGAATAATCACAGTAAACAAGCAGATACTTTGCAGAGATTGTGAAGGAGGCAGAAATATGTGTGTGAGAAACAAGGTAATGTGGTGTTGAGGTAACCAAGAAAACAAGGAGGAGGTAAACTATGCTGTTGCCTTCTGGTGGGAGATCTGGGTTGAAAACCAAGCGCTGTCAGACCTGAAAAAGCTGATAGGGCCCAGCAGGGCAGCATTGATGGAGCCGGTGCAGGGGATGCCCCGTCCTGAGGGGTGACTGGGAGGCTGGTGACACTTCCAGGAGCCCGGCTACCATGAGTCATGGGAATGAAAGTAAAATGATTTATGCCTGAGGCAGAATTCTTTGTTTAATAAAAGGGTGAATCAAGTTCCCATGCCAGTGGGAAGGAAGAGACAAGGTAACAGGAGCATGTCACTGAAGCAGGCAGGGCAGGGGCAAAGACATGGAAAGGCTCTGGGCTAGACACACTCACAGTGTGGGCGCCTGGGATGTTCCCCACGAGAGGAGTCCATTCTCATAGTGAAGAATGATGTCCGCCAGGAGAGGGAAGAGGTGGAGAGGAAACTTAGGGAAGCCTTCAAGGGAGCTGGGGAGACAGCTTTTAGGGCACCGTAGAAGCCTTGTTCTCAAAGTTAAGGCTGGGACCATAAATTTGTAGTGCAACAGTCCACATAGTCTTCTATTTTTTTCAAATTATGCTAAACAGGATGTTTGTGAAAGTCACAACAGCAGACACTGAAATATTCTGGGATTGCAGTTTTACTGAATTAGTGTGAATGATAAAAAGAGGTGAAGAAGTGAGGACAAAGGAGGCAAACTGAGCTGGAGGTCCCAGTTCTCAGGTGATAGAATCACTTTCTCCACGGACAGCACTTTTACAGCAGCCATCGTCCCCTCTCCCCTTTATAAGAATTAAGAACAGAAGATTTCATTCCTTTAACATTTAAGAGACAAATCTGATGTGGTAAAAATAATCTTGAGACTCTGCTCTAATGGAAATTAGACTCATATGTTGTCTGCTCATCCATTAATCTATCCATCTTTAACCTGCCCCTCAAGATGACTGTGTATCCTCTGCTCTCAACAGTTCCCTGAGAGAACAGAAGTGGATACTGTGGGCCACATCTTCTGCCCTTGAAGTAACTTGAAAGACAACACCCGTCCTTTCTCTCAGGCCTCAGAGATAGCATCAGGTTTTCTCCAACAAAAGCCTGCCAATCTGCAGCTACACCTTGTCTGTCACTCTGCAAGAGCACATGTGATGCCTCCTGTCTCTTTAGTACAGTCTGACTTCATAATGTTAAGCAGACTTGAACAATCATCAGCAAATATTTCATGTCAAAGCATTGATGATATATTTTCTCATCAGTTAATTTCTTCATAAAAATAGGATCACAAAATAATTGGGCTTAAAATGAAGTTGCTGCAACATTCCAGACTGTGAACCTGCATTGTGTTGAGTCCGTGGTAGGTACTCGGTAAGTACTCAGTATTTATAAATAGCTTCATGGTTTGTAAATATGGCTTTTTCAATGGAGTTACAGTGTCTAAAAGTACTAAAAGTAGAAACATACAACATCAAGTTCCACTGTTTGTAGTAATACAGCGAACTTGTTAGGTAAAGGATAGTCAGATCAGGAGGGATTTAAGTTTCCTTACTATAGTGGCAGGAAGGGCCAGTGCAGGTTTTCTATGATTGGAGCAGACAGTAAAGGAGAGTCCTGGAGACCTCGGTGGCTCTCCAGGCTTTTATTGTCATTTTACCAGGTACACAGCAGGCAGGGGTGCTGGCGGGGGGGCAGGAGGCTGGCAAGCCTTCTAGCCCCCAGCAAGTCTTCAGTCTTTCTGGGCTCTTTGGCCTTCTCTCATGGCCTCTGCTTCTCTGCTATTTCTCCTTGTCATTCTCTTCTGGTAGTTTTGTTCTGCTTTGCTGCATCCCTGTGACACCGCCCTTATAAGCACCATCTCAGCCCAGGTGAAACCCACTTCCATATGGCCACACCCCACTCCAGGTGCCCGCCATGAGGCATGCATTCAGGACCACAAGGATCCATCATCAATCCTAATGGCGGAGGGCAATTATTTACCCTTACATTCCCGAGCTTTTATGATTCTAGGAAATTCTGATCCTAGGAAAATGGGAATCAAAGTGAGCAAAATCTGGATTTCATTTTGGAATCTCAGATAGGAAGGTGTAGGCGGCCCTGCTGAATTGCCTCTAAAGGAACTCGAGGGAGTCATAGTCCTCACAGCAGGCATATGAAATTGTAAGCATTTGGGTAAATACCTAGAAGCGGAGTTGCTGGATCCTATGGAAGCTCTGTCTTTAGTAGGTCAAGAAATCTCCACACAGCTCTCCATAATGGTTGGACCAGTTTGCACTCCTACCAGCAGTGCAGGAAAGTTCCCTTTTCTCCACATTTGTTGTTGCTAGTTTTTTAAATATGTGCCATGCTCACTGGTGTCAGGCAGTATCTCATGGTAGTTTTGAATTGCATTTCACT